TCCGCATCATTAATTGAAATAGCTGCTTGTTGGAATAAGTCAGCCAAGTTTTTCAGAGCTAGGGGCCAAACACTTTTTATTTATATAGATAGATCATTTGGATCGTTATCATTCTGTTATCTATTCTATACAGCGGCAGTACTTACATTTCACAGTTAATGTGTCAGTTTACAGTATCCAAAATGGGGTTTTCTATTCTTTCAAATGATGTAAAATGTTTCATTTTGAGGCTTATATTTTGCTGCCTGTTTTTAATGTTCTTTCGAATATGTCAAGTAAGCAGTGGTGGAAAGTAATTAAGTCAAGTATTGTACTTAAGTACTTTTTTGACATATTTTGTACTTTACTTGAGTATTTCCATATATTGCGACTTTATACTTTAACTCCACTACATTTTGGAGTACAATAATGTACATTTGACCCATTAAATGTATTTTAACACTCACAGTTACAAGTTACTTTGTACATATAAAAACACATGATATGGTATAATGCAGTACTGTACCACTGCACAGTATTTCTAGTATCTACATTTGGTCCATGTCAACAAACTAAAATGATCTTACATGTACAAAACAGGATAATATGATAACCATAATAATATAATACTGTAAATGGATCCATTCTGCATTACGAGAACCTTCGATACTTAAAACACATTAAGCAGATAATACTTCAGTACTTTATATTATTGTGAAATGGGTTATTGTGCAGAATGACTACTTTTCGGCACAATAATTCTGCACTACTTTTTGTACTTTAAGTATCTTTTGATGTCAATACATTTGTACTTTTACTTAAGTATTATTGGAAATCAGGACTTTTACTTGAAGTGGAGTATTTTAAGACCATAGTATTTGTACTTTTACTTAAGTAAAGGGCCTGAGTACTTCTTCAAACACTGTTGCTAAGCTATGAAGATGCTATTTACTGAAGCTGTGCAGCATTTACACAAGATTAAGCGTTCAGTACCAGACACCAGGTATTAAAATGCTGATTTAAGTAAGCATGTGTGTAACTATTCATATTAACATTACATCCACATAGCCAAAAGGCATGTCTGAACATTTCAGCACTCATTTCCTCAGCTGTGTTTGCCCACCACGCCACACGGATTGAAATTGTGACTTGAAATATTATTCAGAGCTAATCCAATATTCTATTTGTATGGTTTGGAATTGAGTTTAAAATGTCAATACCACTTCAAACGCTAAGCCGCTAACTGAATTTATGCCTCAACTTGTGTTCTGTTAAACACTATTCGAGAAAAAAAGATGCATTTGTATCACTTTATCTTTCCCCTTCTTGAAATGAGCACATTATGGGAGGGGAGTTGCGAGGAAACATTAATGCATTTTTATCGTAATGCAATAAAAATGTGAATTCTCATTTCCCCAGCGTTCCGTCTAATACGTTTCTATAGCATACAAGGATGCTTTGAGGAGTGCTTTAAAGAAGAATCTGTTGTGATAAGCCTGACAGCTTGTTTGCAACATTTGGGAGCTGTGATGAGAAAAGGCTCGGTCACCTTTTGTCACCGTCCGAGTTCGTGCTAAAAGCAGCAGGACTCTGAAGGAGACCTCCGGCTGCGCTCCAGGCTGTGCTTTGCGTTATGTGATTAATGTAACAACAGAAGTGCTGTTGCAGTACATTGTTATTATTTTAATAAGAAGTAATATTACAATTTGGTCTTTTCACAACATTGCCTGCAGCAAAACCGGGCTACGATATTAAATCAACATTAATAATAAATAGTAACACAATCAGCAGAGGGCACCTTTAAAAAAGAAACCAAAGTAAATGACAGTTATTAAAAAAACGGCTTCAGGAACAAAAACGGGTTGCCAAGAAAGTCACAAAAAAATCCATATAGGATAATTTTCATCACCCAAGGAGTTTAGCTTCATTGATAATGCATATGAAAAGGATGAGTGATGGCGCCTAACGGCTTCATAAAACCCCTTATGGTGAAGGTGGAGACAGTGAATACTCTTAAAGCAGAATTCCTCCCTCGCTGTAACCAGGGAAAGGCCTGCCTGTCTGAGCCGTGCCGGTCATGCTCCACACTGTCAGAGCAAATGAAGTCAAACGGAGGCTTAATTACAGCGATAAGTTGTTGCCCTGTGGCTGAAAACATCTTATCGCTAAACAGCTGGGAAGAATTGTCTATTATGGATGCATAATTGGGTCCAAGATGACTTTGAAAGAGCACTTTTTGGGTAAAAGTACAACAAGGCCTCCTGCTGTCCTCACAACCTACGGGTGTGTGTGTGATTATACTGTGTTTTGCACTTTTATGATTCAGTACGGCTCGTAACATCCATGTAAATAAGCTTTTAATATTCAGTAACTACAGCTACTGTTGTGGTTTGACATTGTTTTATAGGATCGCCACAGTGCACTCTACACTTCTGCTCATGATGTTTAATGTGTCTTAACACTTTTTGATCCCAGGCTGATTGTGCACTGAAGCTTCCCTGCGCTGGAAGAAGCTGCCAGAACAAAATGCTAAACAACCTCATAACCATTTGTTTTGCTCCTGGCAAAAGATAGGGCATGCTTTATTTCCATGTTGCTCTGTGCAACACAACGTGTTCTTGTAGTGGAAGAAGCATTGCACTTTTCTGTGGAATATTTCCCTCTTTTATAAAACAAATTACACAATAACTGTTGCAAAAATAAATGTGTGTGTGCTTAGCTGAACTCTTGAAAGGCTTCAGAAGGTAATGGCTGTAATTAGACTTACTGAGAGATCTCCAGCATCTGTCTCGTGGCAGAAACGTCAAAACTAACATGAAATGGCTGACACAAAATCAACTGGAAAACATGAAAACAGAGATACACTTTCAAATAAATGATTGTGTCAATACATCTTTGTGGCTCAGGGAAGAGTGGTGGTTCGATCCCCAGTCAACATGTCGAAGTGTCCTTGTGGAAGATACTTCAGATTAATCCCAGATTGATCCCCGTGTCCAACAGTGTGTGAAGTGTTTGAATGTTAGCCTCCCTGAGCAGTGGTTGAAAGTACCACTAAGTATGTAAGTACATTTACTGTACTCAAGTATCAGTTTGAGGTACTTCTACTTTACTTGAAGATTTCCATTTGCTGCCAATTTATACTTTTACTCCACCACATCTCAGAAAGAAATATTGTATGTTTTACTCCACTTCATTTATTTGACAATTCCCGGTTACTAGTTACTTTTCACACAAGTAACATGATGTGTTTATGAATACTATCTACTCAAAAAGTATCCAAAATGTGTTTCACATGAATGAATCACAACATTAACACACTCTATATGTATATGTTAATTGTTAATGTACATTTTTTAAAGAGACATTCTGCACTATGAATACATTTGATACATTTTATTGCTAATACATCTGTAACTTTTTTGGACTTTTGTCTTATTTTTAGACTGTGGTATTAGTACTTTTACTGAGTACTTCTTCCATCACTGTCCCTGAGCAGGTGGAACCTTTAATGGCACCTTTAATGTGTGAATGCTGACTTATATAACGCGCTTTGAGAGGTTGCAAATACTGAACAGCGCTATATAAATACAGTCTATTTACCGTATCCTTCAATACACAAACAGAACACACAAACAAGACATGTACATTGAGTACACACACAACTGTAGGTGATTCGAGTTACAAAGTATGTGTTACTCCTCTCCCCTCGGATTGTTTGCCGATGTTTTATTTATTCTTTCTCTCCGGTCTGCCTCTCCTCGGCTCCTTTTCTCTCTCTCTTAAACACACTTACAATCCTCACTTGTGCCAGATGTCAATAGCTATGTGCTCAGAGAATGGCCGGCTGAGCTGTTCCATCTTGTTATGATTGTCATTATTGATTGATAGTGGAGATGTAGGGCTCGGCGTACAGCGGCGACCCTGCAGTACGCTGGTCTGAGGCTGCTTTTCTTTACTCTGTGGACAAATTATGATCGAACATTCCCTTTCTCAAGTCCTTTCATTATCCAACTTATCTAGTCACTCCTTCTAACTGTGTGCCAATGTGCATCATTTCCTGTGCTGTTGATGAGGTTTAATGGAGAACATACTGCAACACACACACGCACGCACGCACGCACGCACGCACGCACGCACGCACGCACGCACGCACGCACGCACGCACGCACGCACGCACGCACGCACGCACGCACGCACGCACGCACACACACACACACACACACACACACACACACACACACACACACACACACACCAATATCCCAACCTATTACCCAACTGCTACGAGACAACATTTGATCAGCTTGCGTCATCTTCTGGGAAAGACTCCGAGGAGGATGTTGATAAACAAAATGCACTATATCTATTGATTGATTGGTAGGCAGACTGCAGTGTTGTTTCAACAGGTTTCACATTTTCTCATTTGTAGCAGCGGGCCTCCAAACCTTCCTCACAACACCCTGGCTGTGTTTCTGGTGGGATCAGAATGCAAAGCTATTACACACAGGAGGGGTTGTCTCAATCACACCGAATGGCTATGAATTTTAAATTCAGGATTAGGGCCTACAGAGAAGCAGGCACACGGGAGAGACTCAGTCAGTTGAGTGCTAATCTGATTTAAAACATCTTTTCTCTACCAACAGCTCTGGAAACACATTGTTAGCAGGGAAGATGTATTGCTGGGGCTTTAATCGTTCAGCTGCTCCCCCAAATCAAACCACAGCACAGACAAAATACTCTCTCGAAAAAGGAAATGATTCGACCACGATGAACATCCTGTTTTCCATATGAAGAAAATACCTGTTAACTGTTGGTCTGCCAGTATACCGGGAAATGCCATCATTACAGTTTAATGTGCACTCTCATGTATTACAGTGTTCATGAACTGAATTTCCTTTGAGTTTGTGTGTGTTATTTCAGGTCCTCATAGCTGGACTGAATTCTTATTTCTGTCTTTGGAAATGCTCTGCTGTAATGCTGTTTACTTTGAGTGTTAATTCATCTTTTTACTGTGTTTACAGATGGAGACATGGATGACTCATCCCCGTATGAACCTGTAGCTCCAAGCCGACACCACGATGCATTTCGCCTGGCCTCCATCTCTTCAGGTACCTCAGGTTTAATCTTGAACTAAATACTTGGCGGTTTATTATATGAGTGGAGACTTTTAGAGAGGGTGAAATAAAGGTTCATTGGAATGACTAAGGAAGTAGTGATCTAAATAGCCTGGGCTGATCATTCCTCACAGGCCTTTGAAGGGATCGGGTGCTTATCGTTTGATCTGTCTTGACATACGACAGATGTTATGGGCCTGTGGGGTAAACCATATACCCAGTTTATTACTGCACATTTTTCCCGGCTATTGACTCCGCTTTCAGTTTGATTTCCTATTTGGATTACTAATTAAACAGCCCAGCATGCAGCAGGGGAGCTATAGCCTGCAATTTAATTTACTGGTTATTACCGTCATGGTATAACTAATCAATGTGGATCCTATTATGAGACACAACTACAATGTTTAATGCAGTGCATATAGAAGCTAGTTATACAAAGGGTGTGATTGGACACAGGGACAATGTCTGTCCATTGCCAGAGCTAAAGGCATAGTCACTTGAAAATTAAAGTTTTTTTTTCATGTTCTGAGAACAATTTCTGGAGGATGTTCAATTTTTTTCTTTTTTCCAAAAGTAATTTACAAACAGGGAGAGCACATTTTCCTTTTCATTTGACTGATGTATCTTGCTTTGTTATATCTGGAAGGTACAAGAAAGACACGCTTTTGGTATAATCCCCTTAGCTTGGAATCAGCAGTGTATCACTTTTTTTTTTTTTTAAATGTGCTTGTTTGATATATTAAAAGAAGAAGAAGAGTACAAGATCAAATAGGCTTTGATTACTTTGGAGTTTTGAGAAACGATGGCACACTGTCCTCGCTGGAACAAACCGTGTTCATCTAGAAAACATTCAATAAGCGCATTCTCCGTCAAGGTTGCAGATAAATGTTATTCTAAAGATAGAAAATGTTTTGATGTTGCATCTGCAACAAAATACTAATACTGTTATCAACAAATCATGCTGATTAAATACATGTTTTGTATGGCTTTGTACAAAGAAAAACTTTCAAATTAGTAAGCCACCTGATAACTAAGTGAAGGCCATTTTAATTGATCAATTTAAAATTGCAGAAACTATGTTACACTCACTCTTCTTTTGGCTAGCGCTGATTATTTTGTATTTATTGATTGTTGTGTTTTTATTTAGGTCTTAATGTGTACACATGTAAAAATGTGTCTTTGAATGTGTATATATATATACATCTTTTTATATGTTATATACATTTGTTTTGATATTCAGGATCTCTCTGTCTGTACACACAAACTGGAAGATTGACAATAAAGTTGACTTTGATTTAGGATTAGGGGCGGAACATCTCTAAGTGGTTGCCCAATCACAACAGAGCTGGCCAGCTAACCAATCAGAGCAGACTGGGCTCTGGTTTCAGACAGAGGGTGAAAAGAGATGCTGCAGCACAGGCAGTATGAGAAAAATAAAGAGCTTTTTGAACATTAAAAAAATACTGCAGTTGCACCATATGCTCAAGAAATATAGCCATACTGTACATATGTCAAAAATAGTCGCAATATCGAAACATTTAAAAATAAATTTTCATTGTTACATTATTAATCACATTTGATAAAGGGTTGATGGCATTTGTTGTTGTGAAGTGAACATTTATAAGATTTTGGATTATCTGTGTGGGCAGAAATGTTCAAAGGGCAAGAAAGTACTTTATAAACAACAACAACATTTCCAACATTTTATTGACATACGTTTAGTTTTTTTGAAAAGCCATGCTCACAAACAATCCAGTGAGATGATATCAAAGTACAGACACTCATCCTTAGCCAAGCAGTGTAGGAGTGGGGTGGTAAAAGGACCGCAGTAAACATATTAAGATACAACAGGGGACTCATTAATTCATCCGTTTGGCTTTAGATGCTTCCTCCAATCTTCCTAGGTGAAATATTGGAAATCTGTTTGGCCACAAGCTTTCTTCATTATTTATCATTTCTAAGGACAGTGTAATTGATCTTGGCGCAGAGAGAAAACCACAGGCAAACTGATAAGTAATTACATACTTGTTTTATGAAGATAATTCTTACTTCGATTACTAAACCACACCAAAGTGTTTAATCACGTCCATAAATGTTAAACTGCAATGACACTTGGGGAATATATGATATCTGGCTGGTTGATGAGGACAGGGGAATGTATACTCTCCGAGAGGAAAGGTAGGAAATTGAAAAATAATCTCTGCCACTTTAAAAGTTTTGTCTGGGAGCAAGATAAGGGACAGAAGTTGTGATAGAAAGGAACTGTATGCACTCACACTCTGAAGTTGAAATTAAACAGTACATATGGAGACTCCGTTTCTGCATTGCCCCAAGTGATACAAACTATTTCACAAAGCTTCTCCTTCGTAAAGGACTGTGTAGTCGGAGACACTCTTTTATGCATATCTTCAAACTGAAAACATTCACTGTGCAAACAGACAAAAGGACAATGAGCACATTTAACCCTGTCCTTGAAACTCTAAATGATCATTTGTGTATCAATTGCCTACCGTTTTTTACCTTGGATTCATGAAGTAAAGTTCTTGAATGCCTCCGTGGCATATGAAGGGACTAAATAGTCTGAAAGAGAACAACAGTCTACTTGTCCTTGTTATTGTTTATGTGGAAGGGTTCGGCGAAAATGCGTGTGTTTATGAAACGGTAAACATACCACTGGATAAATGAGACTGAGAATTATTATTCACAAGTTTTGTGAGATCTTTTAGATGGAAGATTTCAGTAGTTTTGCTCTTTTGCTCTCTGTTTTTGGATATTTCGTTCTAAAACCAACTTTTTCTTAAAGAAGTCAAGGCAACAAGGTGTGAATAATCATGTTGGGGATAAAGAGTGCATACAGTAGAGTGGTGCATTGATGATGTCTTTTTGTAGGCTGACCCGGAAGTTAGCATCGCAGAGGGTCTCTTGACAAAAAACAGCACGATTTATTCATTGGATTTTTTCATTGGATTTTGAACATTGGAGAAAATAAAATCGCACACATTTTGTTTAGCAAGATAATGTCCACATATTCGAAGCATAATGCAAAACGTAATGGCTGTAAACAAACTACATCGTGGTAGCATGGCTGCGCGTCGCCACCGCTAAGCTAAAGGTAAGCTAATGCTCAGCGTGACGATGTTTAGAAGTCTCATTTAGACACTTGTTAGCAACCTATGTTGTTATATGACACATGGAAGCTTCAGGCATTCCCTAGTGGGTTATTTCATGTTGTAGAACACTGTGAAAATCCTTTAAAGGTCACCTATTATGCAAAATCCACTTTTTCATGTCTTTTATACATAAACACGTGTCCCCTCTGTGTAAAGAGATTCTGAAAGTTTCAGGAAAAAAGACCCCCTCTCTTTTTGTCCTGATCCATTTATATAAAAACATGTCTGAAAATGAGCTGATCAGATTTTGGCCACTTCATGATGTCATAACGATTTTTTGGCTTGTGTAACTATTAGCCAATCACCAACCAAGGTAACCCCCCCCCCACCTTATCACCTGCATCTCCTCCTAGAGCACCATTGGGTTCTTTTTAACCAAATATCTCTCAGAGGGGCGTGGGGAGGGGCTCCTTATTTTCATCTAAAGTAACAGACAGAGAATCAGCACTTTTGAAACAGGGCTGAAACAGAGGGGATTATGGGATGCTGCAATGATCTGTTTGGTATTTCAGACAAACACTTCAGAGACAGGTTCTGTATATATCTGAGACCTATAATATATTGATGAAAAACAGTATAATAGGGGACCTTTAAAGACTCGCTCTGCCACACTCTATACTGTATAGCTGAGGGTGGCTTCGTTAGAGAGAAGGCGATTCATTCTCTCTCTCTGCCCTGGCTTCAGTGGCACTGTGCACCTGCATCAGCAGTGTTTCATCACCTCAGCGTTCACACAGTGTCCTCCTCAACATCAGCCGGCCTTTTACCACTGGCCTCTTTGCTGTGATGGCAGCCAGGCGCAGTGTTCTGTCTCGTGCAAATACTAAGGGGTGGGGGGGTTGTAGGTGTAGATTGTGTTGTGATATGGTAGACTGCTTTCAGTGACACAATAGAAGCACCGTCTTACTGTCATTGTGTTGCAAGCACTGACGAGCTGTTAGAAGTAACTGGGTCACGAAGCAAGCAAGGTTACTAGCAGGGGTGGAAGAAGTATTCACATCCTTTAAAAGTAGTAGTACCATACTGTAAATGTACTCTGTTAAAAGTGAAAGTTCTGCATTGGAAATGTTTGTTAACTAAAAGTAAGTAAGTATAATTAGGAAAATGCCGTTAAAGTCATATTTATAAAAGTACCCAATGCAGAAAAATCTAAAATAAACAAAAAACAACAACAAATAACTCAAAGGTCTTTCAATTCAATTAGAAAACTACTTTAAATGTTTTTGGAAGGCTGTATAGACTGTTGTTTTTATGCAAAAATATTCATTTGTAAAGGAACGTGTCAGATTAATGTAGTGTAAAATATATTTCCCTGTACATTTTAGTGAAGTAGAAGTATAAAGTAAATTGCAAATACCTCAAATTACAACACTTGAGTATACATTCTACCACTGGTTAATTGGTTAGATTAGATTTTAATAGATAAGAAATACTATTTTCATCCTGCTATTTTGTAGTCCAAAGAGAAGGCCTACATGTTCTTGTAGATCCATATTAATGCTTCAAACATACACACGGCTCAGTTGTCACAGCACGATAAACCTGGCACAGTTAGGGGTCGCTATCAGCGGGATGATGCTCGCTTCACATCCTTACCACAAAGCACTTTTGGGCCCACTGTCTCCAGGTGTGATGCTGCACACCTGCCCACCTGTCTACACCATGCTTAAGAAGTCTGGTTATTGCCGCGCGTTGCTCACTCCGGTGACCCGTGACTCTGAGTCGCTATGTCATGCTGTCAGTGTCAAGGCAGAGGGCATGGATGTCTGATAGATGATGGAGATGATAGATGGAAGGAGAGTAGAGGTTATAGGGAGGCCAACA